CATTGTTTAGGTTACTATATTGTAGTGCTTATTATCCATGGTATAATGTTGTCATTGTTTAGGTTACTATATTGTAGTGTTTCTTATCCATGGTGTAATGTTGTCATTGCTTAGATTACTATATTATGGTGATTATTATCCATGATATAATGTTGTCATTGCTTAGATTACTATATTATGGTGATTATTATCCATGATATAATGTTGTCATTGCTTAGGTTACTATATTATAGTAATTATTATCCACGGTGTAATGTTGTCAGTGTTTTAGGTTACTATATTATAGTAATTATTATCCATGATGTAGTGTTGTTATTGTTTAGGTTACTATATTATGGTGATTATTATCCATGGTGTAATGTTGTCATCGTTTAGGTTACTATATTGTAGTGATTATTATCCATGGTGTTATATTGTCCTTGTTTAGGTTACTATATTGTAGTGATTATTATCCATGGTGTAATGTTGTTATATTTTAGGTTACTATGTTATGGTGATTATTATCCATGGTGTAATGTTGTCATTGTTTTATGTTACTATATTATAGTGGTTATTATTCATGGTGTAATGTTGTCATTGTTTAGGTTACTATATTGTAAGGATTATTATCCATGGTGTAATGTTGTCATTGTTTAGGTTACTATATTGTTATGATTATTATCCATAATGTAATGTTGTCATTGTTTTAGGTTACTATATTGTAGTAAATATTATCCATGGTGTAACGTTGTCATTGTTTAGGTTACTATATTGTAGTACTTATTATCCATAATGTAGTGTTGTTATTGTCTAGGTTACTATATTATGGTAATTATTATCCATAATGTATTGTGTCATTGTTTTAGGTTACTATATTGTAGTGATTATTATAAACAATGACAACATTACACCATGGCAATATAGTAACCTCAATGTCAACATAGCCCCATGGATAATAAGCACTACAATATAGTAACCTAAACAATGACAACATTACACCATGGATAATAATAACTACAATATAGTAACCTAAAACAATGACAACATTACACTATGGATAATAATCATAATTTAGGTTACTATATTGTAGTGATTATTATCCATGGTGTTATATTGTCCTTGTTTAGGTTACTATATTGTAGTGATTATTATCCATGGTGTAATGTTGTTATATTTTAGGTTACTATGTTATGGTGATTATTATCCATGGTGTAATGGTGTCATTGTTTTATGTTACTATATTATAGTGGTTATTATTCATGGTGTAATGTTGTCATTGTTTAGGTTACTAAATTATAGTGATTATTATCCATGGTGTAATGTTGTCATTGCTTAGGTTACTATATTATGGTGATTATTATTTATGGTAATGTTGTCATTGTTTAGGTTACTATATTATGGATAATAATTACTATAATATAGTAACCTAAAACACTGACAACATTACACCGTGGATAATAATCACTATAATGTTGTCATTGTTTAGGTTACTATATTATAGTGATTATTATCCATGGTGTAATGTTGTCATTGTTTAGGTTACCATATTATAAATATTATTATCCATGGTGTAATGTTGTCATTGTTTAGGATACTATATTGTAGTGCTTATTATCCATGGTGTAATGTTGTCATTGTTTAGGTTACTATATCATAGTAATTATTATCCATTGTATTATGTTGTCATTGTTTAGGTTACTATATTGTAGTGATTATTATCCATGGTGTAATGTTGTCATTGTTTAGGTTACTATATTATGGTGATTATTATCCAGTGTGTAATGTTATCATTGTTTAGGTTAACATATTAGTGATTATTATACATGGTGTAATGTTGTCATTGTTTAGGTTACTATATTGTAGTGATTATTATCCATGGTGTAATGTTATCATTGTTTAGATTACCATATTATACTGATTATTATACATGGGGTAATGTTGTCATTGTTCAGGTTACTATATTATAGTGATTATTTTTCATGGTGCTATGTTGTCATTGTTTAGGTTACTAAATTGTGATAATTATTATACATGATGTAATGTTGTCATTGTTTAGGTTACTATATTATGGTGATTATTATCCATGGTGTAATGTT